AAACTGACCAAGAGTTAAAGCTCTATCGTTTCCATTTGCAATGACACTTATTGCTAAGATCAAGAAAGGAAACATTCTAAAACAGGAACATTTGATGAACTGCGTACTACCTGGTGTCGTCTTTTGCGTTGAAGAGAGGGAATTTCGGTGAATCTCGCAACGTTTGCAGGTAAAATGCTTTCAGAGTTAGTCAGCTACTTTTTGTTTTCGCACATCTTACACCTAAATGAGGTATTTGTATTGTTCCTAGTCAGTTCTTTACGGTTTCTACGAGATCAAAAACACGAGTAAAGATCGGAACGACTACTGGATCTACGAAGTACGATACCAGATAACTACGTGACTAACACACGAAATTACAGTAAGTGACGAGAAAAGGGAAAAAGGTTTATTATTCAAATATGTCAATTCCAGAGGGCCTGTACCCCCAGGACAGACGCCTCAGCGAGGCCACGCGCACATACATCAATAACTGGTCAGATGACGATTTGACGAATCAATAAGTCACCAAAACATACATATATCTACACGACATCCTTTATTTTTTATATTTCTAACAATTAGTATAGGTCTTCTTGCTTTCACTTTTGTTTTAACTTCACGGGTTTTCATATGATTTCATATGTCATTATGTTATTATTGTTATTTATGTCGTTACATACTAAATGTTATGATATTATTTGTACAATGTTTTAGTAAACTTTAAAGTGAAGATCTAATAATACGAAAACAAAAGTTATGACTAGAAAAATTAATCATATACAACAAATCGTCTTCACGTCAAGCTAATCAAATAAAAACGAATGTCTGCGCAGTCTCTAGGGGGTGACAGCAAAAAGGAGCTCTTCGCCTATTTTTCGCAGGCAGCCCATATCTATCATCATTATAATGTGGAGAAACGCGCATGCCATGATGATTTAGCTGCACGTTTAGGTGTCACGCGGATCTTATCCTTCAATATGACGAACTTTGCTTCCACCTCTCGAAGTAACATCTACGACAAACTCGCACCTTCTCATGCTGTCTGTTATAGGACGCTTCATGCCTGGACGATGTTTAATGAGCGTGATGATATCGTTTCCATTAGCAAATCCACAGTCTCCAAGACAATATCTAAGCACTGCTCCTCCTTCTTGAGCACTTTTCACCTGGGGACAGGCGTAGATGCTAGCATCGTGCACACAACCAGGGAAGTTGGCGTTCACATACACAAACCCACCGCGGGTATCAACAGCAGCCAGCTCAGTGAGGCGTGAGGCCTTTGCGATACTACTACCAATCCGAGTCTGCTGGCTTTTGTACTTTGTATTTTGACTTTTGTATTTTGAGCAGCTTCCTCCTATCGCACTATGATGTTCGGGAAACGTCTAGTACGTGCAAAGTTGGCCGCGTTCTCGCACTACTTCCTATCCCCTATCGGCACCGAATGAAGTGGGAGTAGGTGATTTAACGCTTTCACTACTCGCACAAGACACTGTCTTCTTGCCGAATCCTATGGTGTCAGCCAGTATCGCCTGGTGCGAGTCACGGAAAACGATGATCACCTAGAAGGGTGTTTTGCACATTTACTCTATCTTTTAATTGTTAATGTATTCTCAGTATAGTGGTTTCGTAAACCGTTAGCCGCGGGAATCGATCCCACTACAGTATATCATTCGCCGCTCACACCAACTGCACCAGTCACGCGCTGCGATTACATCCAACGTCTACTTACCACTAAGCAGGAAATATGGACGATTTCATGATCACAGTAAATTGATAAATATGCGTGTAGCAATTAATAATTACGGCACAAACTAAATTAACTTTGCCAACCTTATTGTCCAATGTAATACTCTAAATTGGATTGTTCGTTCCTTCATTAGTGATGCCAATAGGCCATATAATCTTCT